AGCGCTTATTAGGCAATTTAAGGAATTAATATTTGTCAGGTAACCATTTACCGCAGCGCCGCAGCGGGACTCGTACCGCGAACCATGAAAGTACAGAGACGTTCCCACTAGACCACGACACCTTTACATGGCATGACTGCTATTGCAGGGCTCGAGCATTTTAAGGAATTAATATTTGTCAGGTATCCATGAACCTCACCTAGGTCAAGCGTGGCAAATGTAGAATAATGTTTTGTTAAAGGACGTTTAAATATTTGAATAATATATGCAGCCATATCATTATCACACGACGATAAAAAATACCTTCCAGATTCTACAAACTGAGCATATTTTCTAATTGAATTTATGTTAAACAGCCCTAACCCTGATTGTTCAAATAAAATGGGAGAGGGGGGGGGGGGGAGAAGAAAGAAATCGACTTTGATATAAAAAATAAATGAAAATAAATAAATGAATAAATAAAAAAAAGAAGAAGAAAGAAATGACTCCTTGTCTGAAAAAGCGTAAAACTAAAGAAGAATACTATTTATTTGGGGGATTACCGGAACTTCGTACACTGTCGCTCATATAGTTGGAATATATTTTTTTTACCCCAATATTTATTGAATTATTTTGACAATGATTTATTCCTAATAGATCTAGATAATAGTATACATTCTCAGATGTTATTTAATAACAATTGCCAGTGTTTGTTTTGCGTGACTGCTAAAGCATGTGTATGCTACTATGCTTATCAACTAGGGGACCTACGCCCTTAAGTCATGAATGACGATAATGAGGATTAATGCTCCACAAAAGGGCACTAATATGGCACTTCGACACGGTTTTGATCCTGGGGCCTCGCAGTTACGAGGCCATTGCTTTGCCACTGTACCATGACTGTACGCAGCGGGGGCTAGGGTAGGGGGGCAGTTCCCACAAATTAAAAAAACAAACAAAGAAAATGCAATAAATATTCAATAATTCATTGCATTTTAGGCCGACCGATATTTCGTTCAGTATATAGGGGGGGGGGGGGGGGGGGGGGGGGGGGAGGTCACTTTTTGAGGGGGGGGGGGGGGTTACCTCTAAAACACACACATAAACAAAAAATCCTTTTCCGTCTTTTCTCTCTCTTCCCCCTTTTTCCTTCCCCCTCCTTTTCCTCCTCAGATCCCTAATATTTTCTCTCCTCCCTCTTTTCTTCTTCTTTCTCTCTTTTCCTTTTCTTTCTTTTTCCCCTCCTTTTTCTTTCCTCCTCCTAGCTTTTTCTCCTTTTCTCCCTTTTCCCCTTTACTTTCCCCCTTCACCCCCCCTTTTTTTTACCGGGGGGGGGATCCAGCCGGCGGCAGGGGAGGGGGCCCAATTCGTGAGAAAATAACTGGGGGCGAAACAGCCGGCCGATAATTCGCATATTGGGGGAGGGGGTGGGGGGGGGGGGGGTGTAATGAGCACTAATTTATTTATTTTTTTGCTCCCGAAAATTTGAAAATCAAGCCGGCTGATAATTCGCTCAGCCCGCCGCCCCCCCCCCCCCCCTCCCTGGATCCACCACTGGTGTCCAACAATTTTTCACAAAATAACTAAAATTTCTATTGTGCAAAATGTATGACTCCGGAGAGTCTTTGCATTTTAGAGTACCTAGATAATATGCTTTCCATAATACTCTCATTACCTTAGCCTGCTTATACACTCTTTCAATTCAATGGACTTGAATATCTCTGTGCATTAACTTGTAGAACTATAATTACTTTTACCTCATTTATCTCTTATCTTTTTTTGAAGAGCACCTAAAAAGATTGTAAAACAAAGGTGTTTTTAGTAATATTATAATCATGAAGTTTTTATCGTTATGCACATAATCAAGAAACTAAGGTTACCTGTTTGCGATTCTATTCCATATGGTGTTTTAATTATCATGATAATCAGAAAGGTTTGATTGCCGTGCACTAATCAAGAACCTAAGGTTACCTGTTTAAGATTCAATTCCATATGGTGTTTAATTATTATGATAATCAGAAAGGTTTGATTGTCATGCACAATGTTATAATCAAGAACCTAAAGTTACCTGATTACCATTCTATTCCATATGATGTTTTAATTATTATGATAATCAGAAAGGTTTGATTGTTGTGCACTAATCAAGAACCTAAAGTTACCTGCTTACAAATCTATTCCATATGGTGTTTTAATTATTATGATAATCAGAAAGGTTTGATTGTCATGCACATAATCAAGAACCCAACGTAACCTGTTTACAATTCTACTATTGCAAACGGTGTGTTTATTGTAGCTTGTTTTATATGCTAAGGAGTATAATCAATCCATCGGAGTGAAAACATGATTGGAATTAGTACATACAATCCATGATTGTGCAAATCGATATCTGGGGTAGGCAACGTTCGGTCAGATTTTAGCTTTATATTCAAACAAAGTTTTGCGTAACTTTTTAAAGTTTTATTAACAAACAAAAAACCTATAGACGCCCTGTATATATTTGAAATGTAGGTTTATTTTGCTGAGAGAATATAAACAAATTGTTGCTGAGACATGTTGAAGAAAAATGGTCTAATGGAAAAAGGAATAGATTACACTTTTCTGCTCATTATTGAATACAGGGAGGGGAAGTCCACCCTGATATTAAGTTAGCTTAATTAGAAGCAGAACAATAATTTGGGTTTTCTGTTGTACGCAGAAAAATCAAATTTTGTATTCTTTCATCAATATTCGACTTTAAACGCATCTGTTTTGAAAACCCTCGAGGAATAAGTTTTAAATTAGATCCTCTTTCACATTATGATAACATTTGAATCAAATTTTACCATCAAACTTTTGGGGCTCCCAACGCTTAAGAGGCTCTACACCAGGCGCGGATCCAGGATTTCTTAGGGGGGCCTAAATTTGAAATTATGCGACCCAAATATCGGTACGTAATGGTGACCTGCATTGACGTAGGGGGGGGGGGGGGGGGGTGCAGGGAGGAGGCGATTACCCCCTCCCTCCTCCAAAAGGCGCCAAAGCTTTGACGTTTCCTTAAATTATTAGACAAAGAAGACGATTCTCGAAAATAGTGAGCACTAGTTTTTTGGGGGGCCCTCGAAAATTTGAAAAAATCGCACCCCCCCCCCCCTTGAGCGCCAGGGGGGGGGGGGGGTGATTCCCAAAAAAGGGTAAAATTAACGTGTTTTCCCCAGGGTTCCGCCACTGGGTCCAGGGCCTTCAGAAGCTTAAATTATCGTCGGATGAGCATAATTTTATACCTTATTTGTGACACTGGCAGGTCACGAATTGGCGTGGGGTCCAGGGGGCAGAGCCCCCTGAAGCTCAGGGGTTTTGTTAATAAATAACGGCCGGATGAGCATATTCTTTTACCTTATTTGTGACACTGGCAGGACACAAATTGGTGTTGGGTCAAGGGGGCGGAGCCCCAAGAAGCTCAGGGGTTTTAAACATTAAATTATCGTCAGATGAGCATATTTTATACCTTATTTGTGACACTGGCAGGTCACGAATTGGCGTAGGGTCCAGGGGTGGAGCCCCCGGAAGTTCAGGGGTTTTGGGCAATAACTTACTGTCAGATGAGCATATTTTGATACCTTATTTGTGATACTGGCAGGACACAAATTGGCGTTGGGTCCATGGGGCGGGGCCCTCAGAAGCTGGGTTTATTCATCAATTTATCGTCAGATGAGCATAATTTTATACCTTATTTGTGACACTGGCAGTTCACGAATTGGCGTGGGGTTCAGGGGGCGGAGCCCCTGCAAGCTCAGGGGTTCGGGGCAATAAATTACGGTCAGATGAGCATATTTCATACCTTATTTGTGACACTGGCAGGTCACGAATTGGTGTGGGGCCGGGGTCCAGGAGGCGGAGCCCCCTGAGGCTCAGTGTTAGGCAATGAATTACGGTCAGATGAGCATATTTTATACCTTATTTGTGACACTGGCAGGTCATGAATTGGCGTGGGGCCAAGGCGGCGGAGCCCCCGGAGGCTCAGGGGTGTTAGGCAATAGATTCCGGTCAGATTAGCATGTGGGATCCAGGGGGCAGAGCCACCGGAAGTCAAGGGGTTTTAGGCATTTAATTACAGTCAGATGAGCATATTTTGATATCTTTCCCCTTTATTTCCCCCTTTTTTTTTCTACGGTCAGATGCAGCATCCAGGGCCCCGCCTTAGGGCCAATGGTTGGGTTCGGAAGGGGGGGGGGCAGAGCCCCCAGAAGCTCAGGGATTTTAGGAATTCTATGACGGTCAGACAAGCATGCAGGGGCCGCCTTAGGGCCACTGGTGGGGTCGAGGGTACGTGGAGCCCCGGAAACTTAGGGGTTTTAGGCATTTAATTATGGTCAGATGAACATATTTTGATACCTTATTTGTGCCACTAACAGGACACTTATTGCCGTAGGGTCCAGGGGGCCGAGACCCAGAAGCTCAGAGGTTTTATGCATTAAATTACCGTCAGATTAGCATCTAGCCGTCCGCCTTATGGCCCTAAAGTGGGGTCCAGGGGGCAGTGCCCCCGGAAGTCAAGGGGTTTTATGCATTTAATTACGGTCAGATGAACATATTTTGAAACCTTTGATATCTTTCCCCTTTTATTTCCTGCTTTTTTTCCTTCTTTTTTTTCCTTCTTTCTTTCCCCCTTTTTTCTTCCCTTCTTTTTTTTTCTTCTTTTTTTCCCTTCTTTTTTCCCCTTCTTTTGTTTTCTTTTTTTTGCCAGGGGGGGGGGCCGGGCTCCCCGGGCACCCCCCCCCCCTAGATACGCCACTGGTGCCCCCTTGAATACTCCACTGGAGAAGGGTAGAAAAAAGTAAAGAATAATTTATATATCAAAGAGTCGAGCAACACAATATCACAAGACGAAGCAATCATTGTGCGAAGCTCGCCGTAGAGAACGCAACTTTGTTGCTAAGGAAACAGTCGTCGCTGTACACAACGCGAACGACGAATCGAAACGTAACCAATCAATTATCACTGATGATATATCGCACAAACACGCACACACAATATTCGTAAAACCTTTTTCCAAAGCGACATCAAAGACTAGATCTACATAACATAACATTGTAAATCAACTTTACTGAGGTATTATACAGAGCAGAGGTGAGTAGACGATTGTGTGTAGGATTGATTTAGGTGAAAAAGATATTTAAAATGCTGTTCCATGTTTCAAAATCTTTACATTTTAACCGTTTTATGTTCACTAAAACATGCGCAGCAGGCTGGAGAATGCGATTCACATGGTCTCTCCCTGCCGACGCTCTTGGCGTGTGCAGGCAGATAGAATATGGCGTATGCGGCAGAAGTGCGAGCCCTCGATCAGTTGATATGTTGTAATGTTTGGGGGTTGTGTGACCAGCTACCAGACGCTTAATGAAAATAAAGCCGGCACTTTTGCATTTTGATTTTTTAAAACAAAAATTATACATCAGTTGTCAATACAGTGCAATTTCTTTGGGAATTCTGGTGCTTTTATACAGTCAGTGGTTTGGTCTTGCCCTTGGTCTTTACTTTTAAGTTTTACTTTTAGAATCTAACTTACTTTTACTAAGATCTAAGTTAGATCTAACGTTAGACAGAGTTAAGTCTAGAGGAGACTGAGAATGCAGTGAGAGTCAAAATATGTATCGATGACAAAAGTATGATTTTTTGTTGTGGGGGTGGGGGGGGGGGGTCTTGAGTTTCTGGAAACTTTACAAACATAAACTTCTCTTTTGCCTTCGTATTTAACAAAAAATATTCATTGGCACCACTAACCATCATGAATGTTTGTCTTTAAAAAATTGTATTAGGTCTAGTCTAGATCTAGATCTAGATTGGCCTATAATTTTGTCGGACATAGACTCTACATTTAGTACATGTGTGTACTAGCCTATATGCGTGTCTGATCGCGCACTCTGATTAATAGAATAGAAGATTTAGATCTTTACCTTTACCTTTACCGCAAATACTGGAAGAATGCTGAGACAGCAGTCGAGCTTCCAGGTCTATCTTCTTGGTCTATCTTCTTGCACTCATACTCTTTAATAATAATTCTCATTATATGATCTATGATGTAGATCTAGGCTAGGCCTACAGTGTATGCTTTTATTGCTTGTAATGAGCTTCTTCAATTCATTGCTGTTTTAAATCAACTGTCCAGATACACAACCTGTCATTGACGTAAGGATACTCAACATCTGGGTAGACTCTATACTGTATAATAAAAGTCGAGGGTACCGATATCTAAAATTAGTTTTATCATGACACACAAATGTCTATAAAAATTAGTAGTGCTACTATGAATGGCTAGATCTGACTAACCTAGCAAAACTGAAACTAACTACTTTGGAGAAAAGAAGAGAGAGAGGAGACCTACTGCAAACCTACAGGATAATGACGCAAATCGACAAATCCAACCCCGAGAATTATTTTCAGTTTGCTAACTATGAAAGAACAAGAGGCCATTCCATGAAGCTAGCCAAAACAAGAAGCCGCCTTGACATCAGGAAAAATTTCTATAGCCAGAGAGTTGTAAGCAATTGGAACAAGCTGCCACAAACTGCCATTGATGCTCCCACACTCCTAAGCTTCAAACAACAACTATCCAACCTGGGTTTTTAAATGGGTCCCATGGGACCCCCTTAACCCTGCCACACCACACTATCTACGGGATCTTTATCACCACGATGGCGAGGTGTGGACTTCAAGGTATATTCAAGGTATATTTAATTATTTTTGCTTCAATTTTTCAGGATCTATCTTCTTTTGTGGAGCGTAAATTGAAAAGAAACCTACCATCATGCCCCGAGGAGCTCCTAGATCTGCGAGCCGTCGCTCGGACATCAGCGATGTCGATGCTGATCAACAATTGGGTAAGAATCAAGACAATAGTTTTCAATTGTCATGTTCATTTTTACCTTTAATGAATAATACAAAATTTGAATTAAACAAAAATATGATCTAAATGATTATTTGTTTGATGATGACTGTTCTCCCTGACTGCAAAGAAACCTGTATAATTCCGCAACCCACTTAGAAATTTGTGTCTGATGAATGTTTACTTGGTTTTTACAGTAACCCGTTGACAACTGGATTCTCGCATTCACATAGGCTTAGTACAGGAGCTGTACGGCTCCAGTAGGCAATGGTTTAAACAATTTGGATTTTTAAGTATACATGTAAAAACAAAATCTTCTGTTAATTTTCCACATTGTCCTCCCAAAGTTGTCAAACAATTTCCAGCAATTCATTTATACTTTGTAAATGTATCATAGATTTAGATGATTGTTGACTTTATGATTACACAAAATCCTATGTTTTCTTTTGACTTTTCAGCAATTCATTTATACTTTGTAAATGTATCATAAATGAATGTTGACTTTATGATTACCGTTACAATAAATCCTTTGTTTTCTTTTGACTTTTCAGCTGAATCTGAGCTGAGTAAGCTCCAGCGCCAGTACCGTATCATGGAAGGTGATCGGAACGCTTACAACATTGAATCTCAGGATCTCATCAGACGCCAACTGTGAGTAACATCGCACTATCCTTTTCTTGAAATTCATTGATCACATACTGTAGGCCTAGAAGAACAAGAATTTTCTAGTTTGCCTTAGAAATGTTTCCGATATGGCCTGTTGAAATGATTGGTTGTAAGGGATGAAAATCCTGACCCTAATTAAGTCTAACAGTTTGTCCTGTCGTTATCATACAACTGATGAACATCGTGTACAACACTAGACTGCGCAGCTTCTCTCTAGTGTGCATGAGAAATATGTCCGATTGGGCTTTCTGAAAGCATTTATGGCTTAAAGGTTTAACAACCATACAATGGAGCACAAATCTTACATGTGCATGTATCATCAACATTCATGATCAAAATTTGTAGGCCATTTCAGATGAAGCAAATTTCCACTAGTTTGCATTAACAAAAACGTGTCCTTGTAGGCAGTCTGAATACATTTTGGTGCGAGAGCCTATCTATTGTACCTATAAAGCCATGATCATAATCTAGCCTCTATCGAGTAGACCCTAAAAGAAAAAAAAATGCCACAGCAAGCCTTTTGTTTTTGTTGGAAATCACTAGCAAAAAGCACTTCCGGTATATATTCTTGATTTTTTTTTTTTTTTGGTGGGGAATTGAATACTCAACTACACCCCCATAATTGTGAAGTGCACCATGCATATTTTTCTACACTTAAAAAAAAAATTGCTGTCTTCAGGCTTGTTCAAATGTGGCGCGGTGAACAGCACAAAAAAAAAAGTTGCAGTGGTTTTAAACATGGCAACTGTATGAAACAAAGTTTCTGCACGTATATATTCACCAAGCTCTATAAGATTCAGAAATGTTAAAGGTAAAGACCAGTATTGGAAAGGCCCAATTTAAAAAAATGAAATGGAAGCTTCAAGCTCTCATTACCAATCATGTGAAAGAATATGTTTTGACTAATACATGATGATAAAATATTTGTCGGGAAACCGCCTACTAATTCATATATTTGGTAAATTTGTTTCTCTCATGGTCTGTGAGAGATATAGGGTAGTCCCATATACATCTTTCTGTGTATAGTGCTTGTAACTTTACGAAGAATGGGCCAAATTTCTTATCATTTTGATGATTCCAGAACCTTGCAGATGCTAGATGCTAGATGATCAACCTTTTCTGATCAATTCCACAACGTTTCTTTCACAATGCAATCGCATGACCATAACTGGTCTTTACCTTTAAGGTTATTACACTTTACGTTGTCTTAAAAAACACACCAAGCTTTCCATGTCATACAGTATCTGATTGAGTTTTAAGCCCACATGTCTCTATAGGCTATATATGAAACTGACACTGAATTGTATGAATATTTTTTTGACAGAAATGAGATCAAAACTTTGGAGGCTGAGAAGGAAGAATTGAACAAAGATTTCAAACTCTCAGACAGTCAGACCAACCAGTCCCGAGACGGTGGCAACGTGGATAAGCTCAACAGCCTCATCGATGAGAGAGGTAAGTAAACTCTTATAAGACATCGGTTCCATATACATAGGTATAGGTGTCCATGTTAGACCAAAGGGTTAGCAAAAGCAATCTGATCATTTTTTTAATGAAGTCTTAAGCATTACTTCATAAACGGCTTTGATTCATTCCAATTCAATTCATTTATTTTTCCATAAAAAAATATGTGAACAAAAGAGTAAAGTACAGCATTAAAAACCACAAGATATAATGGTGGGATACCGTTAAAGCCGCACTGTCCTACTTGTAGCTACTTGCTCCCTCTATATAGAAAACTTCCCCAATCTGTGCCTGTTGGTCTCCCATGATCCTCTTTTTCTTACCGGTATGTTAGTTGAGAGCTGAGTTAATGAGATAGCCACCTGTCAGTGACCTCGCTGTGTGGTCTAATACCTTCTGGCCCAGTAGTATTGACGGTCTTTAAAAGCAAAGTGCTTGTGGGCAGGGTCCCAGTTGCAATGTTTGTTTTAGTGCAAAAATCATCAGCAGATTATTATAATGTTTTTTTTTGGTGTGTGTTAATTGAATCTTCTTAGATAACTACATGCAAATGGTGAAGGATGAGAAGGCCAAGCAGGCCGAGCTGGACACCATGATCCGCAAGAAGGAGAAGGGGATTCGTGACCAGCACAAGTGCATGGGAGGAGTACACGCCAGTCAACAGCATACGCAGAAGACGGTCAAAGCCATCAGGGTGAAAGAGAACAGATTACACCAGGTAATTAATGCACTTGCATATCCCATTTGGGTAAAACAGAGTGTAATATCAGTGATTGAAAATTAAATTTGACCTTTTCCAAGATTTATTTATTTCACTCATCAATGTAAAATACAATGGATAAAAAGTGCATGATTGCACATAATAATAATAAGTATAGACTATTGAAGAAAAAAAAACACACACAGAGAGTAACAGATTGGTGTAAAGACAAGAATCATATTAAAATGAGGGGGGGATCTTGACTATTCGACCCTATTGTTAAGAGAATGGGTTAATTATGGCATAAAATATTTTTCATGGGTATAAGATGAGACCATCCATAACCATATTTCTGCTGTAGGGATAAGCAAAAATCCAACTACAGTGAATCATGTGTTTAAAGACCACTCAAGGGAGACAAGAAAAGTGTACAGGTTCATTTAGTGCTGTGAGAAATGATTTTTGGAAAACAAAGTTGCCTCGTCTTTATAGATGGGCGGGTTTTCTATACCTGTAGTTGGCAAAGCAGGTTTGACTGTACATATTCTAAATAACGAATAGTCAAGATGAAAAATGACTTAATATGGCTGTAATCCCTGAAAATGTATTTATACATGTACAAAAAAAAAGGTTTCTCTAGCTCTGGTAGTATATTAGTATTTTCCTGACTATTGAATTCATTGTTTTCTTTTAGGCTAATGAGAAGTTTAACGCCATGCTGACAGAGAATGCAAGCCTTCGTGAGGAGATTGACAGCTTCAGAGTGGAGCGTACCCGTTATGAAAACATCCGCAAGAAACTGGACAAGGTAAGAATATCGTTAAATTAATATACAAATAATACACAGCAGTGAGGGCATTAGTAAGAATTACCCATATAAGGTACCTCTGGAACAGTCTAACGCGCCCGAGGCAGTAGCCGAGGGTATTTGGACTGTTTTGAAGGTACAGAGTGTGGGTAATTTTACTAATGCCCGAACAGAATGATGTGTATTATTAGTTTTATAAGATTATGTTTTATTTGTTTTATAAAATGATTTTTTATAACAAGATTTTACTAATAACCGGTCATTAGAATTGGATAATGAGCGATCATTTTCCAAAAATTTCGCATTAGGCAAGATAAATTCCTGGTCACATGTACGCTTTCAACCAATCATTGATTAGGATCCATGTCATCATAATACAATAATAATATTATAAAGTATAATAAACTGGATTTATATAGCGTTTGATCCAAAATAATGTTGCTAAGCACTTTAGAGATATTATTGTACCGGTCATCAGATTCAATCACTCACAATGTGTAACATATCCACTCCCTGGGGAGTATACTTACCGTATGGTCACCAGGCTGGGATACGAACCCTCAACCCTTGGATTCAGAGTCAAGTGAATGAACCACTATACCATGATGCCGCCACTCAGTGTATGATTTCAATCCCCATAAGCATAATATGCGTGCATCTTTGTGCCCAATGGGAAGGCAATAAAATGCTTACATGTACAACTATGATTTACACTTATTTTAGTCCATGTCCGTGTATGAAAGTATGGTTTAGACCGTGGTTTTAATTATTAGACCTCCTTTGTGAATTTGGGTTTATGCATAGTTGCATGTATCAGTCAGGCTAGGGTTCAAGTCTGCCACAGCAATAATATCTTTTGGCAAGACATGACATCTACATTTGCCACTCTCCGCCCAGGTGAGGTACATGGGTACCCAGTGGGAAGAAATTCCTTGAATGCTTAAGCGCCTTTTCATGGAAGCTCGGCTAAAGCCGGGGTAATGATGTGATTGCAGGGCCCTCAGGAGATCAGTATTGATATCGATGAGGCTATACCCTGGGTAAACAAGACATATTATCTTATTATTGTATTCTTAGATGCTGCTTATGAGTAACGGTTTACATGGTGATGTAGATATACAGTAGGTTTACGGTTGCACCATGTGAGAGAAAAGTCTTGAAAAGAAAGATTACCAACGGTCCTTTTCAGGACTCCCCAATCCTTCCCTTTCTCTCTCACATGGTGCAACAGTAAACCTACTGCATATTATATTATTATTATAAATTTGCCTTCTTAATCGACGTCCCACAGGAAAAGTCTGACTTGAGGCAGGAGATCGGAGAGGTGATCGACCAGTCCACCCAGGCCTACGACTCTCGGGACGAAGCCCAGGCCAAGATGATCCTTCTCAAGGAGAAGGCCGATAAGGACATGGCCCAGCACCAGCAGGAGATGAAGGAACTCCAGAGGATCATCGATCACGACAAGAAGCTCAGGGAGTTCATGAATGTCAAGGGCAAGGAAAGGGAAGAGGACGACTACCTCAAGGCCTGGAGACAGAAGAAAGGTCAGTACATGTACTTGTTTTTTTTTGCTCCATCATGGTATTTCATCAAAAGATGCTTTAATAATCCTTCTGGTCCTACCAATTAGTTACAAATCTGTATGATGGATGAAATTTAGTGAAGAATTTTTAAAGAAATGAATGAGAAATGAATGAGAATGTTTAGGGCGATTGTGAAATTTCAAGGCGAGGAAAAGGAAGAGGACAGCTACAGCTTGGAGACTAAAAATAGTTCAGCACTTTATCTTTTCACCATCAGGGTGTTACAAATGACCAAATAACATGTTTTGATGGTAATTTCAAAATTGTTATGATGGAAAAGCATGATTTAGATTATACTCCTTGATGATAGAATCATAAAACAACCTTGTAAATCACAAAAATAGTATAATGATAATATAGATAGATAGATGCAACGTCTCTTTGCAGCTCTCTTTGCTTGCAATTTATTGGTGCTTTTGACCAGGTAGGAACCTTTTTTTCATGAAGAAAGAAGAGGCAAGATCATTGTTACAATGAAGTAATATTCATGTCATTGCATAATCGCATAAACGGTATGTGCAATACTACCCATTGATAAATGATTTGTCCTCTACTCTTCCCATTACTACAGAAATGAAGAAAGAAGAGGCAAGATCATTGTTACAATGAATGTCATTGCATAATTTACAATACCCATTTTATTAATCATTTTCCCTCTACTCTACCTATTTCTACAGAAATGGAAGCAGCTGACAAGCGTCGTCGCGAGCGCCAGGAGGATTCCATCGAGGCCTATGAGGCTGCCTTTGAGCGCATCTCAGAGATCACCAAGGAGGAGGACCTCACTCTCCTGGTCAACAAGTTCATCGAGACAGAGGACAGGAACTTTGCCCTCTTCAACTTCGTCAACGAGAAGAACAACGAGATGGAACTGCTCTCTGACCAGATTGAAGAGGTAGGTCATCTCATTCTCGATTTAGGAAGGACAAGCAAGGGTATATATAAGCCCATTTGTACTAGTTTGGCCAGGAGGGATTAGACCACCCAGGGTGGTCACTGACAGGTGGCTTTCTCATCAACTAAGGTCTCAATTAACATAAGAAAAAGAGGATCATTGGGGACCAATGGTCAACGATTAAGCATTGTTTTCTACATAGAGGGAGCAAGTAGCAACAAGTAGTACAGTTGGGCTTTAAAGCAAGGGGTATAAGGCCAACAAAATCTGATTTTTCTTTTATATTTGTATATTTTGATCATATATACGAAATGGAATTTCTTTAAGGTTATATGAATTCACCTGTCTGTTTATCATAAAGGTGTAGTCTTCGTTCTAGGAAGGATACATATACCACAAAACAAGAGATAAGAAGTTGAGGGAGGGAGGAAGGGAGTGTCATCATGTATGGCACATAAAGTCAGAAACCCCTCGTGAGAGGGAAATTGCTGACTTTAATAAATGGTGTGGTGATGATATAAACTACTCTCTATAGAATACACAATTTAGTAGTAGTAGTAGTAGTAGTAGTAGTAGTAGTAGTAGTAGTAGTAGACTTTATTGGATAATTAAACTTATTTAGCACAGGGCTAATCTTCCACAAGGTCCATCTGGGTACCGGCCGGTATACTGGGGTGTGCAGGTGGACAACTATACCGGGGTTTCCCCTACTTTTATACAAATAGTGCAGTGGGTTCTTAACGTGGAAAGGTGATGCCTCTCCTCTACATGGGGTCTCTATTTAACGTGTCGTCTTATACGAGGGACGGAGTGATTTAATCAATATAAATATCGATACTTACACTGCCTAGATGCAGTTACAATGTTAGATTTGTAACCCATACTTTACCTTTTCATGGAAGGCTAGCACCGGGGTGTAAAGCTATGTTATTTTTAATAAAGAGAAGAAGCAAAATAGTCCGAATTCCTTTATTAGTAATATCTACTTTCCACAATATGAGCTCTCGGGTGAAAACATTTTCAGTATCCAAATCCAAATCATCACTTCCATCATCTTCTTGTCCTTTCTAGATCAAGGAGGAGATGCGCGAGTTTGAGCACCAAGGTTCGGAAATGGAGGCTGAGCGCAAGGCCATCTTGAAGGATCTTGAGGAGAAGCAGGTCACATCCACCAAGAATGCTGATGAAAACGATTCCAAGATCAAGAGCGTCAACAAGATCTTAGACCAGCTCAAAGGAGGTAAGAATTTTTTATTAATAATAATAATATTCAATATTTATATAGCACACATATCCACCATGCAAGGTGCTCAAAGCGCTCCAATATTACCCCAGCTCTGCTAGGCTACCGATTTCTGCTAGGCTAAGGATTACCAATTTTACGATGCCAAACGATGCCAAAACTATCCATTGTAAAAGGAATGTTGATTTTGTTGGTTCCACCGAAGCTCAGTTCATGTATCAATTGTCGTCCGGCTGGAAGAAGGGCGTTAGCGCGCGAGCGACTCAAAAACTATTTCTCGAATTATTCGCATTTAAAGGTTTGTTTTATATTGAAACTGCTTTCCATCCCGAAAATTGGTTTAAAACTTAAAGACTACTAGAAATGTTATAGAAGAACATCATTTTATAAAAGGTTGAGGCGATTTAGTGCTAACGCCCTTCTGCTTAACGCTTCATTTTTTACCTGAAATTCGAGCTGCCCTTCTGCCAGCCAGGCGACGAAATGATACTTATGAGCTAATGCCCTTCTGGCTCTAAACAAAGGATTTGTAAGCTACAGCCACTAGTTAGAGTATGGGTGAATTGCCAATTGGTCTACACCCATCCCGTCTACTATCAACATGGTCTAATAATCATTTTTTCTACTTATCATTTGGTCTAATGATCATTTAGGCTAATAGCCATTTGGTCTTTTGTTCATTTAATCTAATAACCAGTCAGTCTAATTCCCATTTTGTCTAATGCCCATTTTGTAGACTATCCATAAGGTCTAATAAACATATGATTATTATTATTATTATGTTTATTATACTATATGGATAGTAGACGAAATGTACATTAGGCAACCTGGGAATTAGACTATATGAGCAATAGACCAAATGGTTAGTAGATTTATTGATATTAAACCAAATAGCCTTAACCCTTACTGTACTGGGCTATTTTGAGCAGCCTCTGACTGGGGGGGGGGGGGGGCCTGGGAGGCCCCCCCCTATGATCTCGGCCGTCGATTGTCCGATGAACACAAAAATTTGCATGTTTGTAGATATTTACGTAAGGAACAAGATGGTATAATTATTTTTTTCTGAATATGCAAATTTTTGTCGTTAGCCTAATTAATTATGCAAAATGCGCTAATTTTATGCATTTTACAGAAAACGTCTCAAACTCCACTTTTTGAATGTTGAAACTCATTATTTATATGAAACTTCTTTTCTAACACAAAAAAGTTATTTTAATGTAATTAATAATGATAATTTATGCAAATTTTGATGCGATTTTTATTTATTTTTTTTTTTTTTGATGACATGCGCATACTAATTGTTATGTAACCCCTTACAGGTATATCCGATTTCGACGAAAATGGTATCAAAATGTGCGTAAGACTTGAGGGAAAAAAGTCATGAAACGACAATTCAAAATTCCAAGCGGTTGCGGCGCAATCTTCGAAAATGTCAAGGGGGGGGGGGCCTCCCAGGCCCCCCCCCCCCAGTACAGTAAGGGTTAATGGTCAATAGCTTTCATTCACACCTTCGAAATTGCATTCACACCTTCAAAATTGCATTTACACTGCCATTCAACTGATATTTCTGTGATCATCAATTCCAGGTGTGAACTTTCTCTTCGCCAAGACCAACTGTGACAGTTCAATGATCTCCATTATACTTTCATTCACACCTTCGATATTGCATTCACACTACTAAAATTGCATTCACACAGCCATTCAACTGATATTTCCTTGATTCTGCTCATTAATTCCAGGTGCGAACTTTCTCTTCGCCAAGACCAACTGTGACAGTCAATAATCTCCAATATACTTTCATTCACACCTTCGATATTGCATTCACACTACTAAAATTGCATTCACACTGCCATTCAACTGATATTTCCTTGATTCTGCTCATTAATTCCAGGTGTGAACTCCCTCTTCGCCAAGACCAACTGTGACAGTTCGATGATCACGAGCATGCTGGGCAGCGCAGCGGGCGTGACCGATGATACCATAATGCAGTATCTAGGACTGGTTGAGCAGAGAACCAATGAGCTTCTCACCGTGAGCATCTACCATGATGGAAAGAATGCAGAGCAGGTACGCTCCTATCCTTGTAATAATGATAATAATAATAACAATAATATTTGTTTACCCAAGGTAGCCTCCTCAGTATATATACTGTTCTCTACTGTACTCTATTGAATAATCACAGACAATACAGCTACAGAGACTCGTAAAATATAGACTCCAAGGCATTTTGATTACCCTATTGTAAATGTGCATTTGGAAACCAAGTTTGGATTTTGAATTATATGCCATACAAAAGCATTGAAATGTCCCTTTTATTGATCTCATAAAAAAATCTTTGCCATGGTGTTGAAAATTGAATCCTACATTTTTGAGTCTTCAAGATCTTGAAATCCAGTTTGTTTTTTTCTGCAAAATTTAAACTTCATATTCATTACTAATTCGTTGAAAGTTTAACAGAAGGAAGAAAGGCAAAAAGAAAGATTGAAGATTGAAAAAAAAAAGAAGGAAATTCATCAATGATACGGGAAAGATATTGAAATTTGATGCTTTTTTTTCTTCAAAATGTAACTTCATATTCATTACTGATCCGTAAAAAGTATGAAAAGAGAGAAAGAAAGGAAGAAAGAAAAAGAAGAAGGGAAAATCATCAATGATATTGGATGATGGATTAATGGCGTTAAATGTCAGGATTTGTCCTGTGTATGCTGTACCATAAATGGAAAAGGAAGTCTGAATTGCAAAGGAATTTGTGAGCCAGTTGATGAACATTTCCCTAAATCACAATCGATTTAATATTCTCATGGGGTACTTCCTTAATTAGTAATGCACTAGAAGTCATCAGAGGGATAGAAATCTGCTTTTTTTTTCTTCCCCCCCCCCCTGTATGGTACAAGATATGTGTTTAAGGTATTGGCACTGACAAGATGTTAATTCCTTAACCCTAATCCCATCGGGGGGGGGGGGGGGGGGCTTTTTAGGCCCCCCCCCTCGACATTTTTGCGATAAGTCTGAAACGCGAAAAGCTCGCGCCATGATTTTATGTGACTTTTTTGTTTTAAGTCTCGCGCAACTTTTGAGACCAAATTTGCGATGACCGGGTGTGTGGTTACGACGTTACGCGCGTTTGAAAAAAATTTGTCAAGCCAAAAATGGCTCAAAAACGTGATTTCATGTACAAAGTCAATGTGATCAAAATAGCCCAATGGGATTAGGGTTAATGTATGCACAGTGTGTAGTCTTGTGCAGTTGCATTCAAGTTGTCTATCCTTTTAGTAAACCGACATTTATATCAAATTTAATTCTTATGCTTATCTTCCTTCTTGTAGTTTAAGCTGTGGTTTATGTATTCTGGTACATGATATCATGAAGCATATTTTGTGTCATAATTAATAATGAAAGAGGAAACATAACTTAAAAGAAATTCTCATAAAATTTAACCTTGACTCATTCAATGGACTTGAAATGAAAATTGAATACAAATTATACCAGTGAAAGCTACCAGGTATTTGGTTAAATGCAATTCTTAGTATGAAGAAGAAACAAACAAATAAACAAAGATATGTTATTTCTTGTTGACAGGTTGAGTCCAAAGTACCCGGTCTGCTCGGCAAGGGACCCATTGCAGCCCCCGCTCAGCTCAACATTCTCCCACCCTCGACAGGGGACGAGTATGACAGCGATCAGGGCTCCGAGATGAGTGACGACGATAACAGACCGCTCACGCAGAATGAACTCAAACAGAAGATCATGAAAGGGGTAAGTCATCACCTCTCTCTCTCCCCCCCAAAAAAGGTTGTGCATATTTCATAATGTTTTTAACAAGTTTTAAGTAACAGTTGAATTTCAAAGGGGAAATGCGGGGGTCTAACCATTGGCCGTGGTGACAATGGCTCTTTGCCTTATTTTGTCCATGATACAGGGTTAGGAATGCTATTGGGGTTTTAGGTTAGGTTTTATAGGGTTAGGGTTAAGGTTAGGTAGTGTTTTAATCAAGGATGAAAGTCACAAATTTGGTTAATGTTTCCGGATCAGACTTGATTATTATATTAGGTTAGATATTAGATTACTATTCGATCATATCATGTACGCGGATGTAATTGTTTCATGAATGTCATGATTAACCTTGATCATTTCTTTTCCTCCACTCTCTCTCTCTCTCTCTCTCTCTCGCTGTGCAGGTTTTGAAGCGAGAAGAAGCCGCCAAGAAGAAGGGCTTCCAGTACGATCTTTCAGGAGCCAAAGAATTGAAACAGAAGCAGGCCATGCCAGACAAGAAGAGAGGAGCCAAGCATTAAAATGAAAAGTAATAAGAGGTAATAATTATACCAGTTACCTGTACTTGGCCTTATGAGAGGAAACCACTTTAAAATAAACCCTCTCATGAAAGTATATAATATACCCCAGATTGTGAAATGATGAAATATAAAACAAATATCGTCAGGTAATTACTTTGGCCCCTATATGGGTGAACTCTATAATGTAATGAGCTCTCTAATGATATCAATGATAATAATGATGATAATAATGATATAGCGCTGGTATCTGCCAACTTGGACGCTCATGGCGTAAGTGCTCGAATAATTACATTATTTTTATATTGGTAATACATATTAGAGTATACTTGCTATTCTCTAAAAGCTTGGCATCACTCATTTCTTTATTCATTTAAAAGACCCAAGAACATACTGTTAAAAATATCACAACAATACATCCGTATGTTGTATTAGGAAAGAAATTTTCAGGAAATGTGTATTTCTTGTAAAATATAAAAAAATAATATAAAAGATATACCTTGTATGTTACCGCCTTTAGAATTATAAGCATAACCCATAGGAAAGAAATGAGCCTGCCGCATACTCCTGCGGCAGACCTGCCGCAGACAGTCATCTTTTTCACATGCAAATTAGTTTTGCCGCAGACTTGCCGCAGACTTGCCGCATACTCTTTCAGTATGATGAAGAGTCTGCGGCAGGTCTGCCGCAGACTTGCTGCAGACTTGCCGCATACTCTTTCAGTATGATGAAGAGTCTGCGGCAGGTCTGCCGCAGACTTGCTGCAGACTTGCCGCATACTCTTTCAGTATGATGAAGAGTCTGCGGCAGGTCTGCCGCAGACTTGCCGCATACTCTTTCAGTATGATGAAGAGTCTGCAGCAGACCTGCCGCAGACAGTCATCTTTTTCACATGCAAATTAGTTTTGCTGCAGACTTGCCGCAGACTTGCCGCATTTTCTTTCAGTATGATGAAGAGTCTGCGGCAGGTCTGCCGCAGACTTGCCGCATACTCTTTCAGTATTATGAAGAGTCTGCAGCAGGTCTGCCGCAGACTTGCTGCAGACTTGCCGCATACTCTTTCAGTATGATGAAGAGTCTGCGGCAGGTCTGCCGCAGACTTGCTGCAGACCTGCCGCAGACTCTTCGTCATGAATATTCATATCTCATATAGACCTGCTGCAGACCTGCCGCATACTCTTTCCAGTACGTGGCAATAAAGTATGCATGTAGAAGAACCAGTGATAAACTGATTGATACTTCATAATCGATATTGGCAATATCGATATTACCAATTAGGTAATACCAATATATATCGATATTACCAATTAGGTATATTCTATTCTCAATTGTATTAACTTCATCACATTGATCATTTGAAGTGTATTCAAGAGTAACATATAAAGTGACACAGGCTCGTACACATATATATACTAAATATGTATATTGTTTCTTGGTTAGTAATCATAGTTTCTTGGTTAGTAATCAATATATCTATTGCTTAAACGTGAATGTAATTGTAACATGATCAGACAAAATAATTTATTGGTTAATAATGGCAAAAGGAAAATAGAAATCACAAAAATGATGTGCATTGTCTTAATTTGCTTAACAAATCATGATAAATGTATTTTTCTGTCACACGTGTAAAGTAATAATGAATATGCATGAGATGATTGGTTTCAATTGGCCCTATTAGACTTTAATGGGATTTCCTGTGGCAGACCTGCCGCAGACTGTTCCTGTGGGGTACTGGTATGCGGCAAGTCTGGAGCAAAGTTTCGCCCTGCCGCAGATCTGCCGCAGACTGTTCCTGTGGCATACTAGTATGCGGCAAGTCTGGAGCAAAGTTTCATCCTGCCGCAGATCTGCCGCAGACTGTTCCTGTGGCATACTAGTATGCGGCAAGTCTGCAGCAAAATTTCATCCTGCCGCAGATCTGCCGCAGACTGTTCCTGTGGCATACTAGTATGCGGCAAGTATGGACCAAAGTTTCATCCTGCCGCAGATCTGCCGCAGACTGTTCCTGTGGCATACTAGTATGCGGCAAGTCTGCAGCAAAGTTTCATCCTGCCGCAGATCTGCCGCAGACTGTTCCTGTGGCATACTAGTATGCGGCAAGTCTGCAGCAAAATTTCATCCTGCCGCAGATCTGCCGCAGACTGTTCCTGTGGCATACTAGTATGCGGCAAGTCTGCAGCAAAATTTCTTTCTGCCGCATACTTCGGCATACTCTTTGCCGCAGACTTTTAGTCTGCGGCAGGTCTGCGGCAGATCTGCGGCAGGTCTGTGGCAGGTCTGCGGCATACTTTTCTCTTTCCTATGGGAACAAAAGCTTGAAGTTTTCTGTTCTTATTGAGATGAACTTTTACTATGATTCAGAAATTAAGATTTGCTCAGTTTTACTCCTGTAATTATTCATAAACATGTATGTAACAGATATTTATATCATTGTAAAGAGAAAACATTTCTTATTCATTTTTGTTGAATTATGTATTCACATCATTTTGAAGAAGTTCAATCTGTGTATAATGGTTCATTGATTTCAGTTTTGTTTAACTAAATCATGGTTATTTTTGTACAGAAGTTCATGATTGTGTTGAATTTACATCGTTCTTAATATTGAATTTATAAACATTGCTTTACCAATGTTTGTCACATTGGCTAATAAATATTGTATATATTATATTGTAATTCCTCTTTTAGTATTTCTTTTGTTTTGTAAGAATCCGATTGTGTCAGTAGATATATCTTGCATATACCCCCGCCCCCCCCCCCCCCCCCCCACTCCAGGAATGGAGGGATTGCATTCATGTTCCCAAAATCTCTGTTAAAGGGTTACTTTTCACGCAACAAAGTCTGGCTCGTAATACACAAAATATTGGCCCGTATTGACTTTACACACAGGGGAGGGAACATGCATACGCTTACCCTAAATAACACTGAGTGGGAGGCAGGGGGGGGGGGGGGGCATATACCAAGACATAGACAGTGAAGTAATGTACTACTCTCCATTTTATGTTAATCATTTCATGAATTTAGATTTACGATTGCATTATGGCTACATAAACACACACAAGAAGGAACCATGATACAGAACATCAACTTCAACTGCATAACAACTGAAAATGAAATAAGTTTCAAAAAATGGATAATCATCAATTTGTTTAAATCACATTTTTGGGGGATTTTTAATTTGGCTGTTGTGGTGTTGCTCTTATGTGATGCCCTCAGTTGTCAGATCAAGAACACATTGCAGGGCCAGGGATATCCATTTCCATAAGGGAAATGGTTAAGGAAGGAGAACTGAGGAACGATTAGAGAAAGAAAAGGAAGACAAATCATTTTTAGAACGAGATCTACATCTTCACGAAATGTCACTCTTCATGTGGACAACTTGAAAAATCAACAATAAAGGAAGATGTGTGGATGTAGGCCTATCTTTTAATATATAATGGGTTAAACAAAAAAACTTACTCCTATTACTAAAGAGCCATGACTAGTAATTGAATTTTCTCTCTTTACTTTTGAACTTTCCAAATAATGTTGTACGCAAGAGGAATATTTGTATTCACGGCCCACTAATTAAGTGATTAGTTTTGAAAAATGTATGCAGTAGCTTGCTTTCTAATAATTTTATTAATTTCTAAAGTCGACTATCATTATTTATACATGTTCATATGGATATATATTTTTCATTGATTTTTATTGAAGGAACCTATAAACATATAGAAAGGTTTAAAAAACCGCTGGCACTATGTCCTCCACTAGTTCTTAGTAAGGTGTGAGGTAAAATAGTCTAACTTTTGAGACAGATGGGCTTTATATGCACTTAAAATATCCCTTTTGTCTTAGTCTAGGTCTGGGTCTAAGAACAGAAATACCTTCCTAAAGTTTTTTGTTTTTGTTTTTCATGTTGTTCTTTTGGCTTGTCCACTGAAGATGAGGGTGAGACGAAGGTTCCAAGCTGTTGTTTGTTGGGGGACCTTCACGGTTCCGGTGATTTAGTTGCCTGCCCCATTCCTGGCAACTTGTAAATGCTCATGGGAATCACAATGATGGTTATAAAAAAAATGATTTTCATCCTTTAGTTTTGATGATTTGTTCTTCTATGTAATTCTTTTGTATACACTTTGCTATGCTGAATAACTAATAATAATAATAACAAATGTTGAAGTTTATAACCCGACAATCATTAATCCTATTCTGACCAAACATGGGTAAAATATGCACTTGTTGGACTTTCACGTTATTGTGCCGTTGAGGGCCACGTGCCAAGGTCGTGTGTTATAATAAATATCTTGGCAACTGTAATGATATGTACCCGGCCCCCCACTCAGTGTTATTTAGGGTACGCATATGCTCGTACCCTCTTTTTGAAAGCACCCCCTATCTGAGGACTGCCAACATTTCCGAACCCCCCTTTCGCGGGCTTTTCGCGGACTTTTCCTGCCTTGGAGACCCCCTAAATCAGGAAAAATGCTCAATGTACCCCCCTAAATTCGGAATAATTTCTCAGGAGTCCAAAGAGATGAAAGAAAAAAGAAAACACCCCTTTTTAAAGAAATCTCCGGGTGAAAAGTCAAATACACCCCTTTTTTTTTACAATTCTCGGGCCGGACTTTGTCGCACGAAAAGTACCCCTTTACCGGACATTTTGGCAACACGCATGCGGTCATTCCGACCTCTGAGTGGGGGGGGGGGGGGGGGGGGGGCCGGGGATATGTATAGACTGGTAGAATAAATGTTTGGCCTGATAAAAGATATCAAACAACAGGACAGATTTAAATCATTATTTTTGGTAATTGTTATTGTTTTGGCCCCAAAAGTGACCGAATCGACCAAATCGTTATTGAGGGGAGTCAATTTGACCACTTTCTCTAGCATCAGGGTATATTTTAACATAGAATTGGCCCATCAAAGCTCCTTTGCTGAAAACAAGTTTGGAAAAGTTGCCCCTTTAATATCAAAAGTGACCAAACTAAGTCACTTTGTCACTTTTGGCACTTTGCCAAAGTCACCATACCAGTCCCTTTGGGCAAAAAGTGGTCAAAATTACAAAAACGTTGTGAGAAGGGTCAATTATATTTTTTTGAAACAGCGCAATTCCCCCCCCCCCCCCATATAACATAATAATGTACCATGTAAAATAAAATAAAAACTGGTGTCACTAGATGGCGCTGTGAATTGCGAATCCAGCATATTGAAAACAGTAAAAAAAAAACACTAGCAAATCAGTTCACATTTATAGTCAGCATCATTAAAGAAGTCATTGAAGACAATAGCTTAGAGTTTTCTCCACCATTTATTGCCTTTATGCTTATACAACTACAATATGCAAAATATGCATGGTATGGAATTATGTGCTACATAAATATATAATATGTAGTTAAACTATCACGAGAAGTGCATACAATAAACACACGTATAATGAATTTACGTAAATACAAGGGAATATTCATGATCAACATTATCACACCAGTTTTTGTGAATGAAAATGCACCAATGAAAAAACATATACATTGTAGCAAAAGGTCAACTGATTAATAATCTGTATTCAAATGACAAATGAGATCATACAGACACACATCTAAAATAAACTCTAGAGTCCTAGACTACTGTAATAATCAATCCTACACGTCCCTATAACAAAACACCAATGGACATTTTACGTGTCGAGTCGTACATAGAAAATAGCTGAATTGATCTACACTCAACTAGAACTAGAAGAATATAACATGCAAACTGGCATACAAAACCATTCCGGATACCACAAGTATTACAAATGATTAACATAAATTCCCCGTTGAAACAAAAAATATTAGCATACTAGATATAAAAACACGACCACGACACAGAATATCAAAGAATGGGTACCTACATGCAAATACAGTCATGTAGAATCGAGGAACATAAATTCCAGGTATATGGGTTATACAACAAAAAATGTTTAAAGGTATTACAAAGTTTTGGGAAATTTTGAAAAATGGGTGGAGAGTGATTCTTTACAATTTTGACTTATTTGGATGCCCCTGTGGGTTTATTAAAAACACCAGAAATTTTAGCCCCTAAAACACTTCTGCTTTCGAGAAAAATTAAATATAAAGATTTACCGGTGCTCCCGGTAAATTTGGATAAATTTCAAATAGCTCCTATGGCCGTACAATGGTAGCTGCGACCATGAAAGTTTCAGAGTATGTAGTTGTGGTATATAATTTCCGAACGAGAATAGCTAATCGGTCGATTTTAGTCAATAAACATTGTTTAATAGTTTAATTTATATCTTGACCTTGAGAGGGAGCTATTCAACATAAAGTGTTTATTATTTACAATTTCATAACTTTGGAGTCGATTTCGACCGCGACACCGATCACTGAATATTGTAGGATCGTATATGCTTCCAATATGTACATTTGAACCAAATTCATGACCCCATACCAAAACTTTGTATTACCTTTAAAAGTTTTAATTTTCTCATCATAATATTCTCAAAATACGCACTTTATCTAGCATTTATGCAAACAGAAATTTGTATCTTCAAAAGATTAATCCATAATCACTTAAGAAATGTAAAAGTATTATAAAACAAAAAAATAATGCATTTATGTAATTCAAGAATGCTTTATTTGAATTATATAAGGATGCTATAAGGATGTTCAAAAGCATATATTTATCAATAAATTCATTGAACGAAAACAAAGAAGGAACACAAATTGAAGGGAAGGGTGAAGAAATACATAGTGATGAGGCGAAAGAAAGGAGTGAGAAAGATGAGGATAAGATCACTATATATACAACGTACTCGATACGATTAATCCAAATAGTTAAAATGGAGCCAGATGACCAGAAGCAATGGTGTCAGAATGTATCATAGAGCATCTTAAAGTAGATATTCATTGATTTTAAAAGCTAACTTTATTTTCATTATTGCAAAGTTGAAACTTTGATTCGACAAGGTGTTCAAATTTCAATGCTTGGAAACATTCGAAATAAAGATTATTATAAATTACAAAACGCTTAAATACAGCCCCGGCATAGCACCTGAAGAGCTCTCCGAACGCTGCTGAGATGTGTGAGATCATAGTATGGACATGATTTTCACAAGCAGACGATGTCCCATGACATCTCACATAATTATTTTCAGTACCTGTGTTTTCATCTTCTCTTGAGTTCTTTTTCTTACTTCACTATCGTCAGGCTAAATGTATAATCTATTGCATCACTCTAAACCCTGCGCATGGTTTTATTTTGATGACAAATGCAGCGATACAAAAATAAAGGAATCTGTCGCTTGTAAACAAAATAATACGCCATTGTATATTTAGCTACTCACACCACGGTATGTTCAGCGTTTCAAGAGGGAACAAATGCCGTCCTAAATATCAATCCAGGGGTTTTTAATTTGAAAGTCTGGTTCTTTGATTGTTGATATACCAGATCGTAGATACAATCTGAGCATGCGCGGATTGATCTGCGCATGCGCAGATAAAGGTCACTTGAACAAAACTGTAAAACCCACTGAGACTAATACTGGATACATGCTCACGAAAGTTATGTAATCATTATTCATGCATGCACCTGTGATGCATTCTATTGAACACAGGTGGAAGTAATCAATCAAAGAATCACCTCCATGAATTTAGCTGTGATTATTCCAAAAGGCACAAAGTTGGATTTATTTATGTTTATGTGGATATTTGGGGTTATAATTATGACCCATGTGCCAACTACAAACTGGTCTATTAACCCCTATCCTGTTTATTTACGAGCACAATATTTTAAGTATCATAATCTGGTTATACCCCCTTTTGAATGGTTTGAAATGCCATATACACTAAACTCATTATAATTTGACAAATAATAGCTTTGCAATTATGTTCATTCCTTATGGGATGTCGTCCGCTTTGGCAGTATTGGTCCCTCTTGTGACGTCATTAAAACATCGCTATTTTTCTGGCGAATCTCTCGTATATCACAGCCGCTATGCATGGAGGTGGTTGTATTTGTATGTTTATAAATCAACCGATATGTAGTTGACCTAATACTTGTACGATGGCCATCTGTTAGCTTACCAGGTTCTAGTGATACATCAGTTGACATATTTGTGATTTGCTTTGAATTTCCACTTTAAGGTTCAAATTTTCCCGGTCACCCAACTCCTCAAAAGCCTTGCGCTTCGTGCTCGCAATTTCGTACGTTTCACGCCCCCTCCCCCCTTTGGAAAATCCTTGATCCGCCCCGGAAGGGGGTCTTATGCTCAAGTATGTAGGGGGTAAACTGGGACTTGTATCATTAACAGTTGCGATTAATTACAACTTATTTGCAATTGATATCAATCGCAACTATGTACATAAGAGATAGGAGAATGTAAACTTGTGATTTATTGGAGGACTTGCGATTGATAAGACGGGGCCCTGGTTGACTTTGTGGAGCGGTCACGATGTGAATTGGTCGAATTTACGAGAATGAAAGAAGGAGCTAGAACCCTCCTGTTGACTAACAACATGGTCATCCATAATGAACTTTATTCTATTTTAGTCAAAGTCAATTGCCATTCGATGCATTTTCTCTTTTGACGTTTAGGACCTAGATTGTGATAGAGTTAGGCACTTCGCGTGGATGAAGCCAAATATACTTCTCTTCTCTTGTCTCATTCCGTTTGTCGATTATTTCTCCAATGCGTTTGAGTTCAGCTCGGAATCTAGGGGAGAAAATGAGAAAGAGAGAGAGAGAGAAAGAGAGAGAGAGAGAGGGTGGGGAGAATAAGAATATACATGTAATATTTAATGGATATATAGTTTTACTCTACTGACTCAATGGGAAAGGCCAAACTGATGATAATTGGTTTGTTTTTGATAAGATCAGAACAATGAGAGTAACTGATCAGGGAAAGTTTTAGCCAAATGTGTTTAAAAAGAGGAAAGCTTTACATTTTAAAAGTTGTAATCAATGAAACAGGAATTGGCAACTCTGTGACGGTTTTAGGACAATTACCCCCTGGGAAATAACCCCCCCCCCCAGAAAATTACCCCCCCCCGGAAAACTACCCCGCGAGGACAATTACCCCCAGAGAATTAACCCCCGAGGACAATAACCCCCAAGGACATTTAACCCCCGGAAAATTACCCCCCCCCCCAAGGACAATTATTCCCTCCCGCTGAAGACAATTACCCCGAGGTACAACTACCTCCCGAGAACAATTACTCCCCCTCCCCCCCCCCCCCATGAAAGACACGACCATGGATGTACTCTACCTGGAAGTTTTCAAAAGTCTTGCTGCCTCTCTTACTGAGTATTTATCAGTACATGTACTTGTTGATTTTAGTATCATTATAGTTATTATCATTATTAGTATTATTATCATTAATATTATTACCATTATTATCTTTATCATCATCACCATAATCTTTATAATCATCATTGTCATTAAATGCTTAAAACTGGAACTTACTTCTTCAAGGCCTTTTGATAGGTAGCACCATGCATGTACTGCACCTCAAATTCTCCCAGAGGCTTGCTGCCTCGGGTGCTGAGGACCTTCACGAAGACCATGTTGTCCAAGGTCTGATCCTTGTTGGGTAGCTGCTCAATGATGTCGGCCTCCGTGAGAGGAGTCTTGAGAAATAAAGAATATTAATATTCAAAAGTGGTTGTGTAACAATCAAATCAATAACAACATCAACAAAATGATGGAATTAATAACAATAAAAATGTAATTTGATAATGATAACAGTAATAACAATGATAATCATTAACGATAATAAGAATAATAATCATAATGGTGATACAATATTGATAATACTTAAAGTGATAATGATATAATAATTGATAACAATACAGAATTACAATAATAATTATAATAACTATGATAAAGATTAAAAAAAATAATAATAACAACAAACGTCATCATTATAATAATCATCATCATCATAATAAAAGTAGTAATAGTGATAATCATAATCATAATAATGATGGAAATTCAAGTGCCATACTCTTAGTTTGGCACCACCACCAAAGAAATATACTAATGTAATAAAACCCAAGTCTAAAATGCGTGAGTCTGATCGGATGAAGGCTAAGTTACGTGTTTTAAGGTTCAGAGTTGCTTATTTTATGGGGTGAATTTGAAAGGCTTCCAATCTATGGCTTTTAAACAATACAAAATAACTTCGCGTCTCGTTTGATAGCCGCAAATTATTTATCATTTTAATGTGTCTATCTCAGGAGATACATTTCCCAATGGACTCAATCTGCGCTCTCGATCGTTGTTCCATCTCTTACTATACCTTATCCTGGGGTGGTGATCCATTCATCCAGCTGGGGTAGGCCGGGGGGAAACCATAGTTATCATACTGACCGAAGTTCGTTGCAGCATGCCCCGCGCTGAAGATAAAGATACAATCCGTCACAACGGTGGTGATCTCCTCTGCGGTTTTAAAATGGCCATCATTAGGAAGTCCCTAGGAGAGAAAGAGGGAGAGACAAACAGAGAGAGAGAGAAAAAAAACTGGGTATCAGCGAATTTATTGATCGATCAATGGACAATGGTATGCGATAGGTCCATAGATAAAAACGTCAAAACTTCCGCGCTTTGCGCGGGAAGGGGAAACTTAATTCAGACGAGAATTAAGAGTCGAGAACAGTACACCCAATCGTCTGCTTTCTCTAATAATTTAATGAAACGTCAAAACTTCCGCGCCATGCACGGGAGGGGTTAACCGAGTTCGGACAAAGATTAAGAGTCGAGCACAGTTTAACAAATCGTCTACTTTCTCTAATAATTTAATGAAATGTCAAAGCTTCCGCGCTTCGCGCGAGAGGGTGAAACTGAATTCAGATAAATAAGGCTTATTAAGAGTCGAAAACGGTATATCAAATCGTCTGCTTTCTCTAATAATTTAAGGAAACGTCAAAGCTTCCGCGCTTCGCGCGAGAGGGGGAAACTGAATTCAGACGAGAAATAAGAGTCGAACACGGTTTTACAAATCGTCTACTTTCTCTAATAATTCAATGAAATGTCAAAGCTTCCGCGCTTCGCGCGGGAGAGAGAGGGAGAAACTGAGGGGGGGGAGGGGGTCGGGGGGGGGGGGCTGAATTCAGACAAGGATTTACAGTGGAGAACGGTACAGCAAATCTTCCTCTTTTACAGTCGAGAACGGTACAGCAAATCTTCTTCTTTTTATAATAATTTAATGAAACGCCAAAGCTTTCGCGCTTTGCGCGGGAGGGGCGGGGGAATTCATATTGACAAGGGTTAACAGTCGAGAAAGGTACAATAAATCGTCTTCTTTTCCTAATAATTGAAGGAAACGTCTAAGCTTCCGCGCTTCCGCGCTTCGCGCGGTAGCCCTATCGCCCAGACCCCCTAATGAGCGCGCTTCGCGCACTCTTTGAGTGATTCGCCTGCTCACTACCGCCCCTCCCTAAAATGAGATCCTAGCTCCGCGCCTGCATTAAAATATATATCTATGATGCTGACTAAGTTGACGAAATAATTCGTATATTTATGTCATCGAGGAAAATGACCATTTGCGCATACGCAAGTACTATAGATAGTCCGTAGGAAAAACAATTTAGCCTTCGGCCCCGGGTATACAGGGTTAAATTTGTAAATATTGGGACATTTAATTTGGTCGGTAATTGGGGGCTAGTTTTGTCGGTAATCGTTGGCCTCTACACCCCCCCCCCCAACTAAAAAAGGTCTAGCGACGCCTCTTACCATTATACATCATTTTCTAAGTGATGGGACTCAAAATAAAGAGTTCACATCTTCCTGACGAAATACTCAATCTTTATGTTACTACTTGAAAGTGTGTCGTCTTATTTCGGAGTTCATTATAATAAAACACTACAGTTTGCAGCTGTCAGTATTTCGAAATATATGTCCAATTCTTTTACTTTATGGTTGTCAAATTTGGCATGTGCGTGCATGTATGTATGCATGTATAAATTTACGTACATGTGTTTGGGTATGTGTGTGTTTGTGGTGTGTGTGTGTGCGTGTGTGCGTGTGTGTGTGTGTGTTGTGTGTTTGTGCGTGCGCGATCGCGCGCGCTTGCCTAAATTAGTGTGGGCGTGTGCTCGTGCTAGTATGTAATGGCTATCGCCGATCATCCCCCCCCCCACTCCTCGGTACGGATTTACGCCCCTGAAAAAAATATATAGCTCCCATGATTTACAGCTGTTTTTACTGTACAATGGATTTTTACCTTGGCATGATCGTGAGATTCGTGCCAGATGTCCGCATATTTACATGCGGTATACTGCAACACCAACACCAACACCGAACTTGAAATCATGACTTTCCCAATCCCTAGGGGCTGGTGTTGGTGAATAGGAAAATAACACGTAAATCTTCAACACCAACCGCGGTACTTGGTTCAGCAGACGACATTCAACACCAGCCTCAACACAGACTAGCGGAAATACGTCATATTTCCTGAGGTCAATCCCAACACCAGCCTGATTTCAAGTTCGGTGTTGTGGCTGGTGTTGGTGTTCTCACAACACCAACACCAGCTTTCAACACCGATCTTGAAATCACTAGGTCAGTAGCCCCACTTTCTTAAAATCCGCTATTTTCACATTTTTGAAAACTAGATCCGTCTGTTGTGGCTCACGGTTAGGCTCAATACTCATTTAACAATATCAATGAGTTCTAATACGGAACCTAACAAAATTATATTCATAACTTATAATTAACTGCTATTGAACGTGTACATTTTAAAATATTTTTATTTGTACTTGGAAATTGTAACGTTGCTACCGACTTCCGCTTTAAAAATAACAAATAAATCAATTTTTCCAAGGTCTCAGGATAACACCGATCCTTAATTTGTCTCCTTCCTCTTTGCTGCTTTTAAAGTGAAATCCTATTTTCTATCCCCATGTTTATTATTAAGCCTAAATTGTATGAGCGGCAGCTCCGAGCTGGAGCGGCTACACAGAGAAATGCGACGAAGTGATATAAAGCAGGCCTAATATTAATCCTTAAAAGAGTGGATTTTCAACCCTGCCACTTAGAGAGCATGGAGTACCTTAATGTGACCTATGACCTCTCCCTCAAATTTGGGCTTGGTCCCCATGAACCGGATCCATTCCTGCAATTCATGGTCGGCAGCTACCTTCCCGGGAAGATCTGGAAGTGAACAAACATGCATGAGAAATTGATAATTCAGCGATACGGTCTCATTTTATATCTGCTTTGTTTATTGTTAGAACTCATAATCTTAAGACACACATTACTTTATGATATCTCATTTATTATGCTGACGTAAAATTGTATACGGCACATGAAAAAATAATCTCCAGCTGCAACTGAGTTTACAATCATGCGGCGATTAAGATATTTTAGAGGTTCCGTGGTCTAGTAGATTTGTCACTGGAGTGTGAATTACATAATAAACGGTTCGGGTCCTCCGCAGTACTAATACCTTTTTGACAATACATTCAATAATTGTCTCTCCCCACCCAGGCAATAATGGATATCTGTGGGGATCTCCGAAAGCTATTTTGACTTTTTTTGCCATTGACCTGATTTGATTTGATTCGTTTTATTGTCCAAATAAATGTAAATTCTTTTTTTCACATGGTTACAAAGTATATGCCATTGAATAAACGTCGAATAACACATTACTCAATAATCACCGAGTAGGCCTAAGTCATATAATAATTTAAACTTAATCCGAATAGAAGCAACACTAACTTTACAACAGTAAATCATACTTATAAATATGATCACATGATCTCATTAATGACTTTATATTTACAATTATCGACTCTAAAGCTATGGTCACAACTCAGAGCGGCGACCAAACGATTTGTAGCCTGCTCGGTCGCCGCTGGAATTTAGGCATCGCCCAACGATTTATGAAGAAGTCGAGCAGGCTGTAGAGCACTAGCGATGCCCTGTCGACCGGTGATCGCCCATCGATCGGCGGAGCATCTGCTGGTATCTCGTAGGCCAAAATACGCTCGGTGCCTGGGCGGTCGCCGCCCGAGCAACGACCTGATCGGGCGTTACCTGTTAAGCGGTTGTAGGTCAAAGGCTGCCGACCGATTTTAAACTCGCTGCGCAATGACCGACTGATTTCCCAGTGGCGACCGGACGGCGACCGGGCGATGACCACTCGGCAGCTTTTGACCTAGCGGTTTCGATTTTTGGCCTAAACCGCTCGACAGTGAACGGTCGATTAGGTCGGTGCCCGGTCGGCGGACGCCCGGGCACCGAGCGTATTTTGGGCGGCGAGTGCAAATGAGCAGGCGCCGCCCAAATTTTAACTCCGCGCTAAAACTTCAGCGGTGACCGAGCGATGCCCTAAAAAAAAGCGGTGCCCTGGCGGCCGCCGCTCGGTGCCTGGACGAAATTGGTTAAAAACTCGCCGCCCGGCCGCTGAGCAGGCTAATTTGGGGGGGGGGGGGGGGGGGGGGTTGTGACCATAGCTTTAGATAAATCAGTATAGTTGACGTTGAAATCTTTTAAAGGAGCACGTTCCCGCCATTGTAGTTATATCGCTGCTCTAGTCATCGCCATCTTGGTTCCGAAGATCGACTTCTAATTTGCATACAGCTGTCAATCAAAGTACGCGCGGCCTGGCCTTCCTTCGTCAAGCCAGCTAATCGCTGCCGATCCTGACGTTACGAAAGTGGGTAGAAACAGCAGCCGAATATTAGAGCCGAACTGCGATTGGTATTACTTCGGCACATGTATGCGATAATCGGCATTGTGCGGGCATTCGGAACATGCCATCTGCGTATTCTGTTGGTGTCAATAGGCAGCTAACACCGTCCGCCAGCGGGTACGTATTTTGAACGTCCTCTGGAATACGGAGAACATGCCCTTTTAATCGTTGAGGACTGTCGCATCAGAGAATGGGTGGCTGAACGATTCAAACGAGCCGATGAAATCGTTGAGGGAGGCTCACTGGCCGCTAATTTATTAGAAAATTTTGAAGTCTGACTAAGAACAGCGATTTCCAATGCCTTTTACCTATTCACGATAGGGCATGCATTAGGGAACGATTTATCGAATCTCGCCTGGCGCTTGCGTGGTAAACACAAATGTTATCCGTCTTATAAATTAGTCCTCCAGTCAATCGCAAGTTTGCATTCTCCTGTCTATTATGTACAAAGTTGCGATTGATATCAATCGTAAATTTTCATAAGATGGAATCAATATCAATTTTATAGTTGCGATTGATTCAAGGACTTACGATTGATTCGGATCAATATCAACTCTTTGTAAGACGGGGACCAGGAGATCTGTAGAAAGTGAAACAGTCATTCAAAGCTAGGCTACGTTATATATGTCGAGTGAAATTCGTCTCCTCTGAATTAAGAGAGTAGTAGTACGATTGCAACTTCTTTTGAAAATTCAACCTTTAAGGCAATTTCGATGGCCTTTATTTTTTTAATCTGCGAGCAATACAATGGCATAATCTGTTCATGATTACTATAGGATTTCCCGGCCAAATTCGCGAGTTTGTCATTCAAATTCATTTACTTTGCATTTAAGTTAGCGCAGATCAGCTTTGCCATGCCAATTATCATTCAATTTTCCCGATTTTGTATTTAATTTAGGATTTTGGTCGAAGGATTTCATAGATCTGTCATTCAATTTAGAAACTGCTCAACTAGCATTCAAATTAATTGTCACTTGTCGAGGCGTCATTTTTATCATTCAAATTAACACCTGTCTTTCGTATTCGAATTATGCTTATTCAAGTTAGGAATGTTAGGGGGAAAAATGCAACACACGTTTACAGCTTTAAAAAATGCAATTAAATACATGATTTGCTATTGGGGTCTTTTCTGTTATTTAATTTATTAATTTTGAGGACAAAGCATATGTTTGTAGTCAGACATTAGGTAAAGAAGGGCGAAATCAAGGGATATGGCATCTCTGAACGGACATGTTCATATACCCCGGAAAAGTGGGGACACGAAAACGCCTAGTACCCCAGTCACAATATTGTACCCTTCCTCCATAATGAAATTGTGATAAATTTATGATGAAACACAAGACAAACAACTTCCTTACATGAAAATTTACACACATATTGAGACCATCAAGTCTGTAGATGTACAATAAGTCTTTTTTTTTTAACAATCAAACTTAAAGGCTGATGAATATCTGATAAATATAAAAGTATATAAAGAGTATAAATGCAAGAAAATAAAAAAGGATGAAATACACATTAAAAAATGATCTTGAAAGAAAAAGAATGCGCTATAAAAAGTGTTTAAAAAGCGAGAAATGTATATTGACCATTAATTTTAGTGCACAAAGTGTTAATTTGAATGCTACAAATGAATTAGAATGATAAAAGTACACCGTCGCGATGTCAGAAAATCGTGTTACGCTAAATCGAATGACCAAATAGCGAAAGAAGCAATTTGTTCATTAATTGGAATGAAACATACATAGATTCTAACGAAAACTTCATAGATTTGAAATCTAGAAAAAGGAATATAAACCCGAAATATACCCGACAGCACTAAAACCGTCGAATTTGAACGCAAGACAAATGAATTTGAATGACAAACTCGCGAATTTGGCCGGGAAATCCTATATTAGAGGAAGAGTATTGAAATCGCCCTTGACTTGATTTCTAAGAAGCGTTCGCGATTGTGGTTACTGTACCGTAATGGTGGTCCACAACTTCCTTGACGTAGTCGTATATTGCTTCGCGTAGGAGCAAGGCGTCATCACGATAATGGTAGTTCGGTAGCACCTCAGGGTCAGAGACGCCCCTTACAAGAAGGTCAGTCGGAAGGGAGCCCTCTATGTCCAATCGCCATGTGGAGAAGGTGCGTTTGATGATATCTGCCATACCAATGGCTCCGATGGTCATGTTTAAGTCGACGAATTCGCCCGCTGTAAGCAAAGGCGTCATACCTCTGCTGTAAAATAAATGATTTTGTATATGACATATGGTAAAAACATGCCTTGAGGAGTTCACAGTGTAAATAAAAAATGATTAATAAAAGTACTTATTAAATAGAATGGTCCTAATTCATACCTCATCAATAAAATTGTTTTTGATCATGAATCGAAAACAATTTATCGACCAAAACGGTGCTTTATAAACCAAGGAGTGTTTCACAAAGACTAAGACCGACTTTAAGTTGAACTTAACTGTGGCAGGCCATTCATGCAACTGTTTGCTCTCCCCATGCACTGGCATTGGTCTCTCAAGGGATGTAAAAATCGTGGTCACAAATCTACAGAATTTAGCTTTTTTGATAGTTCATCATTGAAGGAAAAAATATTATCTAAAGATCATAATTGAGAGACCAATAGTGCGAGCAACCAGTGGCATGAATGGCCTGCCATAGTAAAGTCCAACCTAAAGTCGATCTTACTCTTTGTGAAACACCTTACACGAGTTGATTCCGCCGTAAATGGCAAATCGTTTACGAGCGGTATGGATTAAACTAATAATCATTTTAGTTGCAATTACATTTACCCGAACTACGGCATTTGCCTTTTTCAACATGCCGAGAGGGACAAGTAAAACACATTGTCCAAGGATTGAGCACCAATGTCCCTGCACCAATGAAGGATCGAATCCCATTCCTCTCGTATGAGAGTCAAGAGCCTAAATTGCCAAATGTGAAGATGTAGCGGTCTAGTGGATACGTCCCACGGAACGGGATTGGATTCCCTGCCTATGATCCCTACTTGGTAAGATTTTTTCAAGGCCTGCACAATGCGCTATACGTACAGTTACCGAGGGTAATTTTATCCAAAGTCCGTAGGAAGCGCAAAGGGACGTTATACCATTATGATAATGCGCTATACTGACAATCTCAAAGACTTTACAGAATGACACTGAAGCAAATTCAATGGCCTCGCGCGTCACCTATTGAAGTGTGTAAAAATTATGATAATGACATCGTAATCCGACATGATTTCTACAGATGATAGGGTATTGGAACTGCCCTACATTGTAGTCTCTTGTTATATACTTAACTATACTTAATATAGTAACGAATTGCTATTATTATTAGTAGTATCGTTGTTAGTATTATGGTTGTGCTTAATTAGTAATCTTAACTTAACGCAACATGAGAGTAATTCTAATCACCTCATTATGTTAATAAAAGTTAATTGTTATTGCCATACATATTTGTAACCACTGCCATGTGGTTCAGGTTCTCTTTATAATCTAAGACTAAGGGAGCAAACCCTAACAGAAAACCATTCCACTGTGACAGCATTGAGGTCGATTGACGATATGGAACTCCCGACATCCTTCGACCAGTCCTGCAGGGTTTTGGTTCACACCCGTCCTGGTTGTCCTCGCCGGTGTGAAACTGCCACCAGTTCCCTGAGAGAGTGCCGTTAGTAACTTGCAAGAGCTACCGGAACTTGCCTACCTTTGCAAGCAGCCTTCATGAAAGTGAAGGCGGTCATTGTCGCTTCTCGACAGACAGCTACTACTTCTATTATTATTATGATTATTATTCCTATTATCGTTATTCTTATCATTCTTATTTTATTGATAATATTATCATAATCAATTGTATTATGATTATATTGTTGCTAATATTTTTGTTATTATCATTATTATTAACATCATTAACAATATACTGTAATGCTCAACATATAAAAGAACCTAACTAGTTGATGGCGAGGAGGTACAAGAAGTGAGGAGCAAGAAGACGGAAGATGGGATGAGATGGAGACAGGGAACGATGCGTTGCTATGACGATGATTTCACCAATGAGATGCGTTAATCCAAGATGGGAAGCCGACTCATGGACGGCAGCATCGCCCAAGTTGAAGTAACACTTGGCCAAGAGCCACGTGTACTCGGGATCAGTCGGGTAGAACACCTGCAATAAAGCAAAATTCAAGGAATGAACAAAGGTGTCGGTTCGTCCTCTTTTTTTTTAAAGGGGGTGGGGGACGCATTAAAGGGAAAGTCCACAATGATGTTATCTTGGTTTGAATAAAAGCAGGAAAAATGAGATAATTACACCAGTGAAAGTTCGAATAATATCCGATTTAAAAAAAATAGGAGAGTTATGAATTGATGAAGTTGTCATCAGTGATACAAAAATTGGCAACACTTTGTGAGCTCCTCTCCAAAGTGCTCTGTACAGAAAATGTCATAAACTTTAATTTTGTTAGTTATTGATAACGGAATAGTCTTGTGTGTCATACGGGGTACTTGGTACTTGGTTGGGTAATCCCTTCGGCAGCTCACTCAAGAAGTTATACTGGGATAAATCAATATACTTAATCAATATACAAAACGGATTTGCAATGGTCATATTTAGGAATAATGTATGACTGAATATTTTCTTAGTACAAGGCAAATTGGATGGGGAGCTCGCAAGATACATCACAGAGGTGAGAATTCGTGTTTGATTGAATTCAATTCCCATAACTTTCATATTTTTACTGGTTTTATGCAACTTTCAAAGAACTGATTCTCTCATTTTTCTACTTTTATCACAACCAAGATAATACCGTTGTTGACTTCCCCTTTCAAGCATTTTCACCACGGCGCGTCAGAGATCGCACCAATCGATGACGCAGTCCTCCGCCATTCAGTATAATCCTCACCATCTTTATCAGCCGTACCATCATCCCATTTATCATCATCGCCATCTTTACCGCCACCACCATCGCCATCATATCATCATCATCATCACTATCATGATCGTCACCATCATCACCATCATCATCATCTTCATCATCGCCGTCATAATCACCATCATCATCACCATCATCATCGCCATCACCACTATTTTCATGATCGTCACCATTATCATTATCGCCATCCATGTCCTCACCACCATCACTACCATCATCATCATCATCACCTTCATCATCTTTAAAGCCACCATCATCATCACCACCACCGCCATCAAAGTCATCATCATTATCACCATCATTGCCACCACCATCACACAATCACCGTCTTCATCACCAGCGTCACCATCATCTTCATCATCACCACCACCACCACCATCGTCCATTATCCATCATCATCATCGTCATCATCGTCATCATCGTCATCATCATCATCATCATCATCATCATCACTATCAATATTTACCGGATTGTTTGGAGCTGGGTCTTGATTCAACTGAATAGCGACCGGCATCAAATATTTGTCTTTGTTGACGAAGAAAAGCGCAATTGGTGCAGTGATCTGACGAAGAAAGTAGGGTTTTAAATATGATTGAAAATTTTCTCTCTCTCTTTCTTTGTCTTAAGAAATATGCATTACTTCGAATAAACCAATCCCCATTTGATATGAGATAAGAATCGTTGAATTAAATGTATAAAACATTCACTTCTCGTACCATACAGGTACGTGCTAACATGAAATGTTTCTCGTCTAGGTAACTTTCAATTCTATGGCGTAGGCTTTTTTGACGTGTTTTTTTCCTTGATTCATTTTCAATGAATTCGAAACTTCTCGAAGGGATTTGTAAATTACGCCTATTCAGTCATTTGCTGCTAACCTTTCTTTTTAAATGAATTTTATAGCTATATTTTTTAATACAAGAATTCGATCTATAAATGATATTTTCTTTCATTTTTTTTTTATAGATACCAAAAAAATAAAAATATTAATATATAAATTCAATAAAAATTAATAAATAAACAAATATTACATCGGCAATTTTTTTTTAAAAGACCTGTCCAGTAACAACAAGAAGGGACTAATTCATTACCTTTCGCCCATCTGTACAAGGCAAGTCTTTGAGGAGTTTGAGATCAATGATGAAAAGACGCTTCTTCTCGATGGCTTCCGACACAGTTAGGCCTTCGAGAAGAGGTTCAACGTCCTTCTCGTCCACGGCGAAACTGAGAGGAGGGAAAAAAAACTGATAAACTCTAATTTGTTCTATTCTTCGTATTTCAATTGCCTACAATCAGTATGGTATTATCCAGGCGCGTACGCAGTTCTGGAAATTTTTTGTGTGTAACCCCCCTAAAAAAAACCTAAAACCTTTATTTTTTTTTTATTTAATTATTCCCATGGCCGACCTAAAAAGGTGACCTTAAACGGAGCAAAATGTCAAATTTCCAAATTTCGAGACCAAAAAAAATGTCCTCTTAACCCCGCTTATTCAGCGGCTGGCTGAGTCGTTGCGATTTTTGGGACCAAAAAAAAAAAAAATGTCCTCTTACCCCCCCCCCCCCCCCCCCCCCCCGCTTATTCAGCGGCTGGCTGAGTCGTTGCGAAATTTTCGGACCGATTTATAAATGTTAAAACCCCCCCCTTGAAAAAATCCTGCGTACGCGCCTGTATTATCCTGTAGAAGTCCATCGAGTTCAACCGAAGGGTTTTGAACATAATTTGTGTGTGTGTGTGTGTGTGTGTGTCTGATTGTGTGTACCAAAAATAGCTATCGCATAAGAGTGCGTTTGGGTTGATGTTAACATGGGCATCATGTTGTGGGTTTTGCCCAAATGAAGACAAAATAACACGGATGGTATAGAGGTTATACTCGCGTGATACATGATACATGTAATATGGCGGAATCCTCAAATCCATTAAAAGAGAGTTTGTTAGGAATACATGATCACATTATCATGTTATGCTTTTTTGAATGAACAATTGACGAATAGCTTGAATAAATCTTTAATTTGAATGACGAAAATACGAATTTTAATGCGCAGATAATGAATATAAACTAATTCTGAAAATTTCTAACGATGAAATGCACGAGACACAGATTTGGGGATATGAAACTATATTGTCTGATCAAATCATGACTTCATATATGTCTAGTCATAATTATTCAAAATATGAGTGCATTTGAAGAGTAATAATTCTATTATTGCATTAATAATATATTTTACTAAATGGAAAGAAAATATGTATTAAAAAAGAAGAGAAAGTCATTTGAAACCGATACTATAAACGATCAAAAGTTGATGCAAAACACGTTTACAGTACACTTGAAAATGGCAGTGATTTGATATTCCACCTTGACCCGATGTTCTGTACAATACAAACATGCGGACATAGTTGAATCAAGGTGATTGGTTAACGGTGAAACAATGTTTTTTTTATCTAAAATAAAAATGTCATCGTTACATTCTTTAAAGGCTTCCGTGATTTTGGCACTGAATTGAAAATCACAGAGTGCATAAAGTAGTTTTTTTAAATCCACAAACAAACCATTTCTCATTGATATTGTCACTGAATTGAAAATCACGCCGTATGCCCAGGAACGTAGCACGTGCCCCCCTAAAATTTCCAAGATCGGTTGAACTTTTTAGACCCCTTTTTTTTTACCTCGATCGATTACATGTATGTGCCCCCCCCCCCAAACACCAAACTCTGGCTACGTGCCTGCATATGCCCTATAGATATTTGAACTTGAAGGGTGCATTTGAGTAATTGTAAAAATACACAAAGCCCCCCCCCCCCCCCGACGACACTTTTTATAGGATGGCTAGTCTAAGTTTTACAAAGTCACTGGCATACACTGCCTATTAGTGTTTTTCATTAAACAATTGGAAAACGAGAAGAAAGTAGTTAAAAGAGATATATTTTACGTTAAGACTGAAATGTTAAATACATTGACGTTAAAGAATAAATGCAGACTTACTTGGGGGGTATCTTGGTGCAAAGTCGGATCATAGCCGGGTTGCATCCCGATAGTCTCTGGTTACCGAACTCCTTATCTGACTTCCAGTTTTCCATCGCCTTTTATTAAAAAAAAACACCCCAATCATGATAAATTAGATTAAAAGTGTGTTATCATGTATATCTATCAACAAATACGTCCAAAGGCAAATAAGGGGATATTGCCAATTTGATTCAATGTGTACGGAGTGAAGTCACTGACATTAGGGTCCAGGGTCTCTCTAGCGTAGACAGATTTCTAATATGGAAGGGGGGGGGGAGTCCCCTGGTGGGATAATTCTGAACACGTATAAACAGAACTTGCTCCTGACAAAGAAAGTACCATTACACTGCACTTGAGCTAAAATATGTACCATTATGATCATGATTGAGAGGGGCTGGGCGGGGGGGGGGGGGGGGGGGGACTCTACCCGGGTACAATATAGTGGCCCATTTTGTCAGTTAACACCATGTCCATGGTTTTTATGTTTACCATGGTTACCCTCACTCTCAACTTCATCTACCCACGGACCTTATACCATGATCCTACACTGAACAAGACTGATAGATATACCCTCACACACATCCACAAACCCAAACGCACATACAACCTCCACGCCCACCCACATACACACATGCGCTCTCAAAATGCGAATGATAATAACTAAAAACAGTCAATAGTCCAGTTGCAGACCATTCTCACGCGGACCATCTTCAGGGCGTAACCTAGAGCACGTGCCCCATGTTTTGGTGTCGGGCATATGGAAACGTTGTATCATCCGCTAAATCTGACTTGCGTGCATAGAATAAATACGTTTTCTAAAAAGTGCTTTTCTTTCCAGCTTTGGGGTGCCAGGGAGTCACTTGGGTAACCTTTCAAAAAGTAAAATAAAAAACAAATATATAGCACTTTCTCTGTATTTTATTCGGAAAAAATATATCAATCCAGCACAATGTCGTCTCTTTTTGCGTTGGAGAAGAGCCACAAAAAAAAAGCGAGTTTCAATTGCACTGCGGCGGCTCTCGCAAGCCCTCACTCGTTCCATTGTGGTCAGGCGAAAAAGGACATTGAAATATATAATGGCTTTGAAGTCTGCTGGCTATGTTAAACAAAATATATACTTTTAGCACAACTCTAACAAGCAAATCGTGGCATGTGGCATAAAATATTAATAACACTTACTTTTGGTTTCGGGAAGTGCGGGGGTTTGTAAACGTTCTCCAGATCTTCTAAGGACTCCCATCTCTCAGATGTGAATCCTATCAGTTTGTGCTCAAGCTTAAGTCTCATCTTCAACGCGATGAGATCAAGCTGCGATTGCGGTGAGATAATGATGCGGAGCGTCAACAAGAAAGAGAAAAGAAACGAAAGGAATCGTCTAAATTATAAGAAATTTGGCCCAGTCTTGGTAAAAGTAACAAGCACTGCACACATAAAGATGTTCATGGGACTACACAAACATGCGGCATAAAAATCTCGTCCTCATTTTAAAGCTGTTACTGTTAGAATATGTAAAAGCATTTGAATAGCCATGCTTTTCAGGGAACATTTTTTTCTCTGACGTTCTTCCTCACTTGCATAATAACAATCTTTATCATCACTATACTTAATGCATTCAAGGTTTCTTCAGTTTATGATGTAAGATTAATTTGCCAATTTCGTTGAGTTAATAGAGCTTTAATATCTTATCTTTTATCGTATTATATCTGTATAAACATCTAAATGTTATCCCACCTGCGTATCACTGTTGCAATAAACCTGTACATTGTTAATTATCAAATCTCTATTTTATGTAAAACGAATGGGAATTTTATATCATCAATTAAACTTGTAAATCGTATTTAAATATACACAATATTTTGCAAGTGTTCTATATAATATAATGTGTTATTAATGCAATGTTATGCCATGTACTTTTTACTCGGTAAATTGAACAATTTGAGCGTTTAGCTGCATGTCCGATGATTTTTATTTCAATAAACCAATACAACAATAACGCTCACAAATAATTTTCACCTCTCCCCAGAACTCAACCTTCTCTTTAAGTTGTAAACCCATCTCGTAAAAGAAACAGAAAATAACGTTGGGACATCGAGCATTTGCATGCGCAACCACAAATTGTGGAATAACTTTCCTTTAGAATTGAGGAAATCCCCGTGTTTAAGTACAAGTCTTGTATATCAAAACTAAAGGCACATATTTTCGTTTAAATGTCCGTAATTTTCAGGCACATCAGAGGCTCTTGAAGCGCAATTATTCGCATAGTTTGTGCGCTTTATGAATTTATATTATTATCATTCTTCTTGTTATAATCATTATTATTTGTTGTTATCATTATATTACAATTTATCTTGTCCCTTATTACCTTGTCACTGAAGGAGAACATTTCGTCCTTAGGAAGACTGGCCACCTGAAATACAAAAAGAGAAAGACGAAATATTAAGCGATTTCAATTTGCTCTTATTAAAAAAAAATCATCATAAACGAATCCTGATCATGAGATTGAAATTAATTAAACTTGAGCACTTCAGCTGAAATAAAATGCGTTGATTATAAACTGTTTCTGCGTTTGCCCGTAAACCCCCTGTGCGTTGCAGTAATTGCAGTGTTATTAAGAATTAAGGGTCTCTCAAATTTAAGAAGGCTATAGCTTTTTACTTGAACATTTGGAAGATAAATGTTGTGTAGCAAAGTTGTAGAGTTTTTTTTTATTAGCTTTTTATCATATCAAATTCATTTGGTATAGTTCGTGTTCTCTGCCTGTATGATACTTTTTTTTCCAAATATGTATTTTCGGTATGTAAAAATATGTTCACTTCAGTCCTTTTGAACACAATTTTAGCATTCTACTTTGTTCCTTCGTTAGTGAAAAGTGTTTTATATTCACATATAATTCAATAAGCTTTCCAGCGATACCAAAATCACCATATTCCAATCAGAAGAAAAGCCCATATAACAGATGAGAAAAGCCCCAGAGCTTTTGTGCACTGAGCATTCTTTCAAAAAGGTCCTAGACTAATCAGAGACACAACAATATAAATATTGATTGGACTTCCTAAGTATGCTGTCCCCTGAGCATGTATTATCTTTTCCCGCTTGTTCGTTTCCAAGATGATACAATGGGATTCTTGTAAAACTGATTTTGAAAGTGGATATACTGTACCTGCACTACACAAATCTGGGTAAATATACTGATGCTCCATGTTCAAATTGAAAGATTTGTGAAGTGAATGTATGTAAACAGTATATATGTTTGATCTATTCGGTCGAGATTCAATTACATAATAAATGCAAAGAAAAACGCCAAATTACTCGAAATAGCCAATGACAAGCTATATTATGACGTCACATGTGCCTGCCTTTTAATCCATCTAAATAATAATAAATAAAGTCATTTTTATACAGCGCATAATAATAAATTATCTATGTGCTTTACAACTATTAATTATACAATATATTACATGATTAATCTACAGATTATACGTATGAATTAACAAAAATACATATCATATACAATGATGAAACACTCAGATATAATATAAATGGTATAAACTTATGAACACAATTATAATAGAATAATTACGATTCTATTGTAGTAAGGAAATACATTATTGGACATAAACTAGCACATAATTAACAGACTATTGGATGAACATAATGTCTTCAGAAGTGATTTGAAAGAATCGACCGTCGGGGCATTACGAATATAGGGGGAGGTTGTATCATAGGGTGGGTCCTCGTAGCTGAGGCCTGAGGGATCTTTCGCCGTATTGAGTATGGGTGCGTGGGACTTGTAGAAGACTTTGTTGCTGAGATCGGAGAGTGCGGGCAGGAACATATGGATGAATTATATCACATAGATATGAAGGGGCTTTGACGTGAAGTATTTTGTATGTGAGAAGTAGGACATTGAAGTCTATTAGTTTTTTTTTTACAGATAACCATGCAGTTGAGACGAAGGAGGATGGGTGATAATATGTGCTCTGTCCGCCGGGATTGCTCAATCATTCTGGCTACAGTATTCTTGATGATCTAGATATAATATTATGGCCAGCGACATGTCAGAATTTCCTTAGTTTGCGTGTTAGGCGTATGGGGGTGACTTTTTCTGAAATCCTGATTCTACAATTCTCTATCGAATACCTGAAGAGGGCGCTATACGACTTTTAATCATGGTCATCATGAAATGGATCAAAACGTGGTCATGAATGGTGTCCAAATTTTCTCATATGATATTGTCTGGAATGTGGTTCATTGCGCTCTCAATTGATATTCGTGTTATTGTTAACTTACAATTTCTATGTACTTAAAAAAGTTGTACTATAGAGAATTGTATGACTGTGAAATTATTTTAAAAAAAAAGTAATTGTTATGGAAAAGATCTCCATATTTCAGAAGAAGACTTTTATTAGCAGTAGTCCTCTTTTTCTTTTCTTTTTTCTTTCTTTTTTTCCTTTTTTTCACAAGAAAGCTGTTATTGTCCATACAACTTGTTTTGTTTCAGGATACTTATAAGCTACCCATTGAAATTAATTTATTAGAACCTAAATATATAGAGAGAATATGTTAGAAGTGGTATGGACTTTATAGAGTAGGGGGATGGAGTACTGCAAGTTAACAAAAAGTTACTTAAAATGGTCCGGAAAAGGGGGTTTAGCTTCTTGCGGCGGGCCCTCGGTTCCTTTCGGTGCGCTATGATGCGTCCACGTCTTTGTGTGTTTTTGGTTAGTTTTTGTTTGTGTGTGTGTGTTGTGATGTTTTGTCTTTGTATTAGTGTTGTGTCTTTTTATGTTAAGGTGAAAGGTGCAAAAATGCTATCATTGGTACACTTGTCGATATTTAATGTTCAATTTAATGATCTAAGGAAAAAGAAATGAGGTGTTGATCGTATATACACGTATATTAGAAAATGTAATAATGCATGATGGATAGGAAGAACGATCTGTTGAATTTTGTTTCATTGAATGTTAAGGGTCTTAGAGACGTTACCAAAAGGAATGCTATAGTAAAGTGGAGTAGACAGAGAGGAGATATAATTTTTTTTTCAGGAAACTTTTAGTACAAACGATGTTGAGGATCGATGGGAGAGGGAATGGAGTGGGGAGTGTTTTTTTAGTCACGGAAGCAACCACAGTCGAGGAGTTTGTATTCTGATTTCACAAAAACTGAAGTTGAAGGTATTGAGAAGTGAGTGTGATTCAGACGGGAGGTACATTATTTTAGAAATTGAGGTACAAAACATAAGATACATTATTTGTAATGTTTATTTTCCAGTTCGAGAAAAAAAGCAGGAACAAATAGATTTTTTAAATCATTTAAGTGTTCGCTTAAATAAATTCAATTTAAACAAATCCCTTATGATAATTGGTGGCGACTTTAATATGATTCGGAATTTTGAATGGGATATTTCAAGTAAAGGGAGTATTAGAGGTCACAAGTTTAATTTAGAATTCGAGGATTTCCTTGGAAGGTTTGATATGCTGGATAAATGGAGGAAAAGAAACCTAGATACGATTCAATTTACTTACAGACAAAATAACCCTTTAATTCAAAGTAGGTTAGACTATTGGATAGTTTCAAACGAACTGGAGAAACAAATTGCAGAGTATACCCTCCATAGCTCCTGATCACTCTGCCATCTATCTAGGTTTGTCTTTGGCTGATAATTTTTTTCAGAATATAGGTCCATCTTACTGGAAGTTCAATAATAGTCTGTGTTTAGATGTAGAATATGTTCAATATATGAGAGCAGAAATTAAATCTGTCGTAAATCAGGGGAAGAAAGATATTACAGACGCCAGAGTCCTGTGGGATTTCGTTAAAATGAAAGTTCATGAAAAAACAAAGAAATATTCCAAAGGTAGGGCACAAGAAACGAAGGAAAACCTACGCAAAATACAGAGAGATATTCAGAAGCTTGAACTTTCATTGCTTATTTCTCCAGATAATGATACCTTACAAAATTTAGAGTCAAAGAGAAAGGAACTCAAAGTGTTATATGATCAGAAAGTAGTCGGGTTAAAAGTTAGATCGCGTGCAAAATGGTTTGAAGAAAGTGAAATCAATGAAAATTATTTTAAACAACTGTTGGCATCTAATCAGAAAAAAACATTTATAGACAAATTACAATTAGATGGTAGGAATGAAGAAACATCTGATCCAAAACAAATTTTAAAAGAAATTAAACATTTTTATCATAAACTATACTCAGAAAATGAAAAGATGGATAGGACAGATGATCTCTTTTTTAATATGTCTCACTTAAATATAAGTGAAGCTAGTAAGAAGTCGTGTGATGAGAAAATTACATTTGGGGAATGTACTTCAATGTTAAATAAAATGTCTTTAAACAAATCGCCTGGGAATGACGGTTTGTCAGTGGAATTTTATCGCATTTTTTGGCCTGATATAGGGAACCTTGTTTTGGACTCCTTCAATGCCTCCTTTGAGAAGGGTGAATTGTCCACCACACAGAAACAGGGTGTAATAACAGTAATAAAAAAAGAAGATAAAAACCCTTTATATATTCGCAATTACAGACCAATTACCCTCCTTAATGTGGATTATAAACTTTTGTCTAAAGTGTTGGCGGAAAAAATAAAGAATGTATTGGAAGAGGTGATACATGTAGATCAAGTTGGTTTTTTGCCTGGTAGGAATATAGAAGAAGCGGTTAGAATTATTGACGATGTCATATTTTTCACACAGGTATACAAGGTACAGGGTTTTCTAGTAACAGTTGATTTCGAGAAAGCTTTTGACACTGTCTCACACTCATATATGAATTTCTTACTGAAAAAATATGGTTTCGGCCCATATTTTTGTAGATGGATAGAAGTATTGTACAAAAATGTAGTTAGCTGTGTCATGAATGGGGGCTTTTCCACAGGCTATTTTGAAATAGGCAGGGGAGTAAGACAAGGAGATCCCTTAAGTCCATATTTATTCTTGTTAATCATAGAAACATTAGCAGTGGTTATTCGCAATGAACAAAAATTAAAAGGTATTTTGATAGGCAATATACAGAAGAAGATAGTAATGTATGGGGACGACTGTTCAATTTTTTTGAAAGACACAGAAGACATGAAAATCTTAGAAAAAAATATTAGATTCCTTTTCTCAGGTATCTGGATTAAAAATTAATAGGGACAAAACACAAATTATGAAGCTTGGTTCTTCTGGTCACAGTAATGAAAATTTGACCGGTATAACATTAGGTAAGACGGTTTCTCTGGTAAAAGTTCTTGGAATATACTTTTCTTTGGATATTAATGTTAAAGAAGAAATGAATTATAAGGAAATATTGAGCAAAATAAAAAGATTGTTAGGCTGGTGGAAGCAACGGGATTTAACACTTTTTGGGAAAATTCAATTGGTTAAAGTTTTTGCAATCTCTAAATTACTATATGT